TGTATCGCTTTAGTAATATAGTTATATTTATTAAGGAAAAAATTACGGAATTGTGTATTGTTCTCTTATCAACTTATATTCAATACATATATACATACATGTCATACAAACAAGTATTCACAACAAATATTTTTAATAACAAATCAAGATTTTGCAAAACACCTCCATCATGACAATAATTGTACTTTTTTTTCCCTTACAGGAAAAATCACATTATTGAGGTAAAATATATTTTGAAATTGATAATAATATGATATCGCCTCAAACTCTTATTTATCAAAAACTACAAAAGTTGGTAAAACAAAAATTACAGAAGATCTGTTGCAACATACTCTCCAAGCAAAGTTAGATGAGCTGAAGTAGGAATTGTGTTATCTGTTATGAAATTCAAGAAAAATATGTACCTCATGCATACATTTTAGTCAAATTATAAGGAAAAAAACCAAATGATGCCCAAACATTATCGCAACAACTTAATGATACAGAATGTAATTACATCAAATAAAAAGTTTCGATCAATTTTTATTATATACTGATTACTTTCAAATGCCATAATAAATTATGTAACTTGGAAGTTGTAGACCGCCCGAAACTTCCTCTGCGCGCCCCTCTTTCGGAGAGGGTGCAGATTGGGGTTCATAGCTACTACAGTTCGAACTCCTGTCACGGTTCTGAATCTAATCTCACAAAGTGCAATGTAAGACTGATAAATCACCAAAGGGTCCAAATCCGACAAATCGTTTTGGAAAATCGATTTTAATCAAAAAGCGCCAAATATGGACTGTTTTTCCAGATTTCAGAGTCGCCACCTAAATATTTTATTTGGGAAATTTAAGAAACCCTGACTCGTGCCTAAAGCCACGTGTCCGTCATCACCAAAGTTGTCTCGGCTCGGGAACTTGGGTACGAGAGGGGAAGGTCCTGAAATGAGTACCCCCGCTTGCCCGATCAAAGGATCGGCCTCTACTAATCATGATATGTTGTTTTGAAAACACATATGTTCTTATTTTGATTTATTAGCTAACTTACCATGTGATGCGCACAGTATACAAGTATAGACTAAATCACTCGATTTGGAACAAAACATCTCATGTTTGTTTGTGAAAATGGTTTGAAAGTGCTACTTGCAAGTAGGCTAAAGCGCGAATTTGCCACCCTCAAATGGGCTTAAAACAACATGATTTGCCACTCCACAAAGTGGGCTTAAAACTCACATTTTGATGAATTGTCCCAATTCAAGCAATAAACCTTCATCCACAGACATTCATGCAGTTTAGCATTTAAGCAAATAGCCTCATGGCGAGCATGCTATACATGGCAGCATTCACACTCATACAAGATGCTAAAGCGTAAACACTTACAGTGTAATCATTTTGAAAAATCAAAGTTTGAATCAAATAATGCCAAAACTAGACTACTTTGCCAGATTATAGAGTCGCCACCTAAATATTTGTTTTTGGAAAATTTAAGAAACCCTGACTCGTGCTGCCAAAGGCCACTTGTCCGTCATCACCAAAGTTGTCCTGGCTCAGGAACTTGGGGACGAGAGAGGAAGGTCCTGAAATGAGCACCTTGCCCGATCAAATCAAAGGATCGGCCTCTACTAATCATGATATGTTGTTTTGAAAACACATATGTTCTTATTTTGATTTATTAGCTAACTTACCATGTGATGCGCACAGTATACAAGTATAGACTAAATCACTCGATTTGGAACAAAACATCTCATGTTTGTTTGTGAAAATGGTTTGAAAGTGCTACTTGCAAGTAGGCTAAAGCGCGAATTTGCCACCCTCAAATGGGCTTAAAACAACATGATTTGCCACTCCGCAAAGTGGGCTTAAAACTCACATTTTGATGAATTGTCCCAATTCAGGCAATAAACCTTCATCCACAGACATTCATGCAGTTTAGCATTTAAGCAAATAGCCTCATGGCGAGCATGCTATACATGGCAGCATTCACACTCATACAAGATGCTAAAGCGTAAACACTTACAGTGTACTCCGAGCCAAAACAGAAAACTAGTTAGAAATCATGCATGATCCTAGCTATGTTAAAATGCCTAATGCAACATATGCAAAAATGAAACTAAATAAGGTCGGCAATCTAAGATGGCATATGAATGCAACACTTGATAACAAGCTTTGGAACACGTATTCAAGAAAGTGTATTGAAATACAATGTAGTTTGAATGATGCGTTGAGCCCGGTGCATGCAAGACAAATGAATGATGCACGTATGCAAGCATAAGGTATGCTAATCGAAAATATGCCCTAATCTAACCACTGAAAGCGGATAAATAAAAGGGAGAAAGACGTGGGGTTGGAAGATTTCACACACACATGCACACGCACACTTATTACAACATTTGCCCTTTCGACGGAGGGTCCGAATGAATAAGAGCTAAGCTAAGCTACTTAGTACAAACCAACTAATTAACTAACTCTAGCTAATTAATTACAAACCAAATTGAAACTAGCTATTCTAAGCTAGTTAGACTATTACAAAGACGAATTAAATTAGCTAAGCACATTAACTAATTAATTACAAAAAATCGGCAAATTAACTAGCTAAATAAAGCAGTAAAATGGCCTGGAGGGGAGGGAAACATGTATGCTCGGTTTCCTTTGCTCGAAAATGCATTGCTTTGCCATGAGTTGTCTCTGCTTGCACTCGCAGTGACCGCAGAGCATCAAACATACTTTTTAGGTTGCATCTGCCTCAAAACAGGAGCATTTTGGAAAATTTTGCTGGAAGTAGTCGGCCGGCCACTTCAAGTGGTCCACAGGCTAGTGCAAGTGGCAGGCCGGCCACTTCCCTTTCCAGAATCCCAACTTTGCTGCAATAGAGATCAACAAAGGTACAACAATGCATTTACAAGGAAATGTGTGTGCAACTACTCTCCTTATCATTTCTCAAGCTCAAAGGAGCGTAGTACTCGACTCTCAAGCTACCAATCACGCATCTCAATGCACGATGGCCAAAGAGCCAAGCTCGCACAGTGTTAGTGAATGCACAAACAACACATAAGAGCCTCAACCTCTATCATGCATGATCAAGAGGGTTGGCGACCAAGAAATGCAACACGTTTCATCACTTTGAGTATGAAACGTGTCACATTCCTCGTGTTTGGATTAACGTCTGATCCAAACATAATGCAATGCAAACAACATGCTCATCTTTCAATGCTAAAGTGGCATGCTAAAACGAGAATCTAACACACAAACAACACATGCATGACATGCTAGAAGACTTAGGCATTAAAGCTAATGAAGTACAAAACATTAGGACTATGCAATACATTGCTCAATGGACTAAACCAGCCCTAAACAGACCTCATGCATGCCAAAACAGTGGCCAAAATGCTCTGAAATAACAGCATGAAAGGCAAGAAAATGATGTTCATGCGTTGGCTCATCAACAAGGCATGAGACACAACTCTTAAACACAATTAAAGAGTGATATACATGAGAGTACGACAAGGCTACATGCTCTGAAATTATGTGTTAAATGATGCCATATCACATAAACATCACAAATAAGGCATGCTGGAAGGCCTAAAGCACAAGGCTAGTAAAGGGCTCCACACAAGAGGCATGCAATACATAGCCTAAACAACCAAACCAGCTCTGGACAGAGCTCAACCATGCCAAAATAAAGGCCAAAACATGCTGAAATGGTGGCCCAAAAGCTTAGACAAGCATGCATACGTATTGGCTCATAAACAAGGCATAAGGCACAACTCACAAAAGCTATGAAGGAGTGGAATATGTGAGAGTGTGACTACACCATATACACTGAAATCATGTGAGAAATGAGGCTAAGACATGCAATCATTACAAGCAAAGCATGCAGGAGGCTTTGAAACTCAAAGCTAGTTAAGGCCTTTACACTACAACCATGTGTAGACACCCCATTTTTGACCGATCTTAAGACTCAAACGTCACTGATTGAGCGCTTGGTGATGTTGCATAATGTGCTCGTTCAGAAGTTTCAGAGTCTCAGCTGTGAACCCTGCCTCCGGACTTCCGAACCCTCTCATTCTAATTAAAGTGTGATTATTTATATATTTTTTAATCACACTTTCTAATTAAAGTGTGATTATATATGCACTACTACTTTTTAATCACACTTTTTAAATAAGTGTGATTATATATATATTTTTTAATTCTAATTAAAGATACACTATTACTTTTTAATCACACTTTTGAAATAAGTGTGATTATTTATATATTTTTTAAGGTAATTAAAATGTGAAAGTGTGATTATATATACTTTTTAATCACACTTCCTAAATAGGTGTGATTGTATAAAATATTTATATCTCACTTTTATTAGAAGTGTGATAAAAAAAATTAGATTGATATTTTAATCACACTTAATTTGATTAAGTGTGATAATATTTATTTTTTTATGATACTTTTTAATTAAGTGCGATTATATATATATATATATATATAGGGTAAATTACACTGACACCCCCTAAAGTTTATGTTTATTACAGTTCCCCTTCACGTTTTAGAAATTACATCTCTCTCCCTGAGGTTTAAAGTTTCATTACAGATTCCCCCCTTAGCAATTAAGGGTATGTTTGGTATAAGTTTGGGATATGAGTTTTAGAGATAAAAAGTACGAAAAGTTGTTTGGTTTGGTTTTTTCAAAAGATGTTTTGGAAAATTATTTTGAGAGAGAGTTTTGAAAAAAGTGATTGATTTGATGTGTATGAGAGAGAGATTTGTTTGGAAAACTTGTAAACCAAACAAGTTTTGGGAATTTTTTTTGGAAAAATTTGTTTGGTTTGATTACTTTTAAAAACTATTTGTAGAGAATTTTTTCAAAAATTTTTGAGAAACACAAACCAAACAAGGCCTTAATTTTTTTTAAATACTAATTTTGCCCTTACTGGGTAAATTACATTGACACCCCTTACATTTTAGAAATTACAATCCCGTCACAAATTCCATTTCCACTCTACTTTTTGCACATTTTTTTTTTAATGTAAAAATCCAAAAAATCATCCCAAGCATACTAATTTTTTTCACCTCTTATTTTAGCCAAAAAGTTACTAAAATAGCCTATATTCCCAAACCAACCCTTAATTTACATTGAATAATTTGGAGCAGATCCACCAATTGGCCTTCTTCATTTCATTGAACAATTTGGAGAATAGTGAAATGATATACCTTGCATGATACCCATTCTGCAAATGATGGATAGTAAAGATCCTCAAAGTTGTTCAGTGGATGTGATATCAATGAAAATATTCTCTTAACTGCAATTTGATCTCCACTAATTATCCCATTCGTTAGTATCTGAAATTTTTACAAGATATACCCCATCATTAATATGCAAAATTTAATTAGAATATATCAAAGATATATATTCATTTTTATTCTGAAACCTTTGTAGCCAACTGCAAGCCTGCCTCCAAAAGAATAGGGCCAGAGGACGTGCCTAATGCAGTGCAGACAGCAGATACTAGTTGGGCCTAAAAATGGTACAGAATTAATTTAGTACAAATCTATAAAAGAAAAAAATAACTATGAAAACACATATACATATTTTGTAAAACCATTCCCTGAAGTTGCATCAAATAAGAAACATGTTTCAGCAATGAAAAATTTATATCCTTGAAATGGAAGGAAGAGTGAAGGAAACCTAATGCAAGTTCAATCAGCATACCTGATACTGTTCAAGTAGAAGGTGTCCAGGAAGGTCAGGGTCTGGTATCATTTCAAACTGTAATTCACACAACAGAAGACATAAATGAACTATCAGAGCATTTTTGTAAATTTTGGAATCTCAGCATGGTACTAAGTGAATAGAAAGTAAGAAGGCACACTTCAAACAAACAAGCCATAGAATTTATCCCCTCCAAAGCAAAGAGAATAAGAGAAGAGAAGAGAATAAGAAAACCCTTCCCTTTCGAATCGTTGATCGTTGCCGGCGCCGAACCAGTCTTGCTGCCGAAGAGATAGCACCGTTCTAGGTCGAAGTCTCACCACTGCCCAATTAGTCTCCCTTTCTAACCCTTTATCTTCTCCCTCTCTTATTTGCTGAATAGCAGCAGAACCTATTTTTCTTTTAAATATTTTTGGTGATTGGCGCTACAACATTTTATTTTGGTGCCTATTTCTTTTTTGGATTATATACATACGTGTGTGACTGTTTCAATTAAATTTATAAAAAATTATTTTTAACCATTCGAAAGATAAAAATTATATAAAAGTGATAATTATTTTTTATTTTTTATTTCTTAACTAAATTAATTTTTAATTTTTAATTTTTTTCTAAAAATCAAATCATACATAATCTAAGAATCTTTTAATAAATCATTTCTTATGTTGGTAACTTATTTAATTATTTGTTATTTTTACCATCATTTTCAGTTTTCAATTTTCAATTTATATTTACAAAAATTTTAAAAACTGTCATAAAAACTTGTTTGATAATTTTTTTTTAGTTTATAAATGGTTGTCTCAGTTTGTAAATTTGAGGAAAAAATGTAAATTTAAAAAATAAGTTTACGTTGGTTTTTAAATAGAAATTTTAAAATTTTACTAGTAAATTTTTTTTTCAATTAATTTTTTTCCAATTAAATTTTTTTGGGTAAATTACACTAACACCCCCTGAGGTTTATATTTATTACAGTTCTCCTCTCACCTTTTGGAAATTACATTTCCCCCTTAAGGTTTAAAGTTTCATTACAGATTTTCCTCTTTAGCAATTTAATTTTTTCAAATACTAATTTTTCCCTCAGTGGGTAAATTACATTGACACCCCTCACATTTTAGAAATTACAATCCCCTCCCTAAGGTTTAAAGTAGCATACCAATTGATCCCTTGGTTAGTATTAGTTAGAAAAAAAATTCATTGAAAAAAAATTAACTAAAAAAAATTAATTGAAAAAAAAATTATTAGTAAAATTTTTAAATTTCTGTTTAAAAACCAACATAAACTCATTTTTTTAACTTACGCTTTTTTTTAAATTTACAAACCGAGACAATCATTTATAAATCAAAAAAAGTATCGAACAAGTTTTTATGACAGTTTTTAAAATTTTTGTAAATATAAATTGAAAATTGAAAACTGAAAATGATGGTAAAAATAACAAATAATTAAATAAGTTACCAACATAAGAAATGATTTATTAAAAGATTCTTAGATTATGTATGATTTGATTTTTAGAAAAAAATTAAAAATTAAAAATTAATTTAGTTAAGAAATAAAAAATAAAAAATAAAAAATAATTATCACTTTTATATAATTTTTATTTTTCGAATGATTAAAAATAACTTTTTATAAATTTAATTGAAACAGCCACGCACACGTATGTATATAATCCAAAAAAGAAATAGGCGCCAAAATAAAATGTTGTAGCGCCGATCACCAAAAATATTAAAAAAAAAGAAAAAAAAAGAAGGGGTTCTGCTGCTATTCAGCAAATAAGAGCATCTCCAGCAGCTTGGCTATTCTTTCCTTTTAGCCATAGAAGCGACCTTGGAAGGGTAAAACATTGCTCCACCAGACTCGCTCAAGGATCGCTAAGCGAGGTTCATGAGCCTTTCAATTTTTTATTTATTTTTGCCTCCTCAATTCGGTTTTTGGCGGTAAAATTTTACAACGCTTCAATGTCTCTTTCGATCGTCGACAATGGCAGAGAGCTCTTTGTTGTCAAATTAATCGAGAGAGGCGAAAAGGTTTTTTTTTTCTTCTTCTTAATTTCATGCTTTTGTTCCATCTGGGTTATCATTTTTCCCATCTGGATCTTTTTTCTTTTTTTCTTTTTGGGTTTATTCTGAGGTTCTTTTTTTGCTGCAGATTGATGAGCATGTACAGAGGGAGATCATGAATCACAGATCATTGAAACATCCCAATATTGTGAGATTTAAAGAGGTTTGTCATTAACTTTTGTCACATACTATAAGAATTTGTTATGTTTGTTATTAATTTTGTCTGCTTGTATAATTTTGGAGTTAGACTCTTCTGTTTTGGTCCATTTTGGGTATTGGGAGTGTTTGATAGTGATATATTTTTCATATTTGGAAATAATCTGTTTCACTTTTTTTACCTCTCCCTGTTTAATGAGCTTATTTTTATAGAACTAATTCTCAAACTTTTTGCTCAAGGGAGGTAATAAATTTTGTCATTTCTGTTTATTTGTCTATGTATTTGTATTGCACACTATATGTTTGTTGTAATTTCTGTTAGAATATAGATTGTAATTATTTGGGTTCCATGAATGGAGAATTGAAGTTGGAGTGTTGCAAGAATTCTAATATGTAGAAGACCAGATTGAGGGCTGTGAAATGTGAAATGGTTCTCATTCCTCAGAAGACCAAAAAAAAATATAATTTCAGTAGTTATTAGATGTACTCTTCAAGTTCAAAGTTCCTTTGATTTTTTTACTTGTGTCCAACACATTCCATGCACTTAACTTTTTCTGTTTCTGTTTTTGTGGGTAAATGGGCAAACCTCTTTTTTCTAGATTCAATATTTAGTAAATTTTCTACATGTTTTGTTTAATATTGCGGCTTCAATTTTTTATTATTTGTCTTTTTCTTCTTCTCTCTCTCTCTTTTTTTTTTTAAAAAAAGGTGTGCAGAGTACACTTGGCTTCCACGAATGTGAATTTTTCAATTAATTGATAAATTATTAAACTGTTGCTGTAGATAATGTTTTAGAGCAGTGATTTAATTTGTACTGTTTAATCATTTTCTTTGTTTATGTATGCATTCAGTGTTCTGCTCATATCTTTGGATAATCAAGTACTTTGATTTTTGGATCTGCATAGCTTTTAAATTGTGTCAATGCTGATATGTTTTTAACTGTGCTTATGCAGCTCCGTAATCTGGAAAGGGGTGTGGACATATTAGTTGCCATACCGGGCCGCTTAGTAGATATGATAGAGAGGGCAAGAGTTTCTCTTCGGATGATCAAGTATTTGGCTTTGGATGAGGCTGATTGAATGTTGGATATGGGCTTTGAGCCCCAGATTCGAAGGTTTGTTGAGCAAATGGAGATGCCTCCACCAGGTGCAAGACAGACGATGCTTTTCAGTGCCACATTTCCAACTGAGATACAAGTTGGTTTACTCAACTCCTTGATAAAAAACATAACTCTATGGAAGTCTGTTTCGGTTGCCTTTATGCATGATGTTGGATTATGCAACCAATATGAAGTTAATTTTAGCTCCAGATGAAGCATAATTCAATCTAAAGTTTTTCATATTTACTTATATATATGAGGACATTATTTCTAGTACATACAACCGCAAGTAGAACTAGATTCACAAGTTTAATTAAGAAGTCTTGAGTGAAATCAAATTGCATTTTGGTTTTATTAGTATAAGTTAATTTGTTGAATGTGTTGTATTTATGCTTTTCTTAGTATAAGTTATCATGTGGATGGATCCTAACCACTAATTTATCTTCTTGCAGAGGCTTGCTTCGGACTTTATGTCAAACTACATATTTCTTGCTGTTGGAAGGGTTGGTTCCAGCACTGATCTAATTGTTCAAAAAGTTGAATTTTGCCAGGATATGGACAAAAGAAATTAATTTGATGGATCTTCTGCATACCCAATGTGATAATGGACCCTGGAAAGGTAAATTGGTATAGTGCCAGTAGTTTCACCATTGTTAACAGATTGACGATTCAATCTTGTTAATCTATCTGACATAATGCAATCTGTTGATGTTGTAATGCATGTGTCCGTGACACTGGTTTTGTAAGACAAGAGAGGGGCTGGATGCTTATAGACGGCTGGTTGTCCATGAATGGTTTTCCGTGCCACGAAGCAATAGCATGTGACAAATGTGCAAATGGTGAGCTAATTCTGTCTTAGTTGCATTTGGATCTTTCTGTGCTTTACCTGTTTTGCCATGCCGCTGAGACCGTTGTCCTAGTGGTTCTGATTTTAGGTGACTGAGGGTTCATTAATCTCTATTTATCTGTTGTGTGTTCGGTTCGGTTACAGCTGATAAATTGCTTTAATGCTGAGCGAGGGAGGACAACGTAGTATTATCCGATGTTGTATCATGAACGCGTTGTAAGAAATTTGAAAAAGAAATGAACCGTTGTAAAAATATGCCGCTTTGTACAAAAGAACGTTGAAAAAATGATGACCATTTGAAAATACGATAAGTAGAAAAATGTAACTTTCACAAAAATATGAATTTATTTAGAAGAAATGAAAATAATAATTTGAAAGAAGTTAGTTTTTTTTTTTTAGATTGGGAAAGAAGATAGAAAGCATAAGAATATGTTAATGAGAAGATAGCTAAAGTAGATTAGCCTTGTTGGAGGATTTATATTAAAAAAATGACAGCTAAGAATAGTAAAGTAAATTTGTGAATACTAATTTAAACTAAAAGCCTTGCTGGAGAAGTGCTCTAAGAGAGTGAGAAGATAAAGGGTTAGAAGGAGCACTAATTGGGGGCAGCTGGGTGACGACTTTCGAACCTAGAAGGGGTGCGTATGCTCTTCGGCAGGCAAGACTGGTTCGGGCGGCGCGGGGGGTGGGGGGGGAGCAGCTTCAACGATTCGAAAGGAAGGTTCTTATCGTCTTCTGCTGTTTGCTGTGAGTCGTAGGTATGTTCGGATTCCTCCCCTCCGGTCGCCTCTATATCAATGAAGAGAATGAGCTGGTATCATTTCTTTCCGCCATAATCAGTATAGCCGATTAACCGAACCCAGTTAACCCACATTTTTTCGCGTGCCTCTCATCGCCCTCCTGTACCTCTCTCTTTGTTTCGGCATAAGGCGATCTTCTGCCATGCTGAGTCCCGCAATTGTCCACAGACCTCTGTGCCTATTTGAATTTTAGAGGGAAACAAATTTGCTAGTTCCATCTACTGCACTGGGTTCATGCGATCATTCGGGGTAAAACCAAATTCTTCAAATTTCTACGCCAGGACCACCACCACAATGAACAGACTTGTTTGTTCCTCTTGTGGTGTGTGCGCAACAATTCAGTGATTTACTTCTGTCTCATTCAATAGATTTCCATATTGTGATGTCAAAGAGTTTGCCGTCTCTGAAGTTAATGGCTGCGGTGTAAGCGCCGTGGTTCAATTAGGGTCCCAGTTTGGGAATGCTCATTCACTAAATTTCGAAAGGTATTTCTTCTCAGAGAAAGCAATTCTCGATGGGCTCTTATGATGTTTTGGCAGTTTCGTCTGTCAATTCGAGTTTGAAATCATTGACTTTAGGCAGATCTCTCAACTTGCCAAACCTAATGGAAAGCGTTGTTTCCCCTCGTAGACACGCTAGCTCTGAGTCAATTCCTCTTTTTCTTCATCTAATTCGAAACATTATTGTCTAGATTTTTGTATTTTGTTGGAATTAAAAGGAGTGGCTTGGATTTTGATTTTTAATAGGATAGACAGTAGATGTAGTTGTTAAGAAGTGATTTAGATATGATTTGTTGGTTGGATGGCTTGGAATGACATTTGCTTGAGGGGTTGTTGCTATGCAGTGAGGGGTTAGAAGCAGCAAGGTTGCCTTCAAAAGCAGGGCAGATGGCGAGAGAACTGTGACTGGCTAGTTACTGAGTTTTAATAGGTAGCTTGGAAAATGTGGCTCACTCTTTGTTCAAAAGTCAGAAATGCTAGAAGAGTAAAGGGTGTTGAATACATAGGTTCGGGCATTACTTTGGGGCCCTGATCAGGTTGAGTATGAAATATAGGATAATAGTATAACTATTTTGGCTCTTTGCTGTGTGTAGACTGACATGCTTCATGAGTCAACCTCTCCAAGTTTTAAACTGAAGTACAAAGTTCCCAGGGGTACTAACGTTGTTTGCTGCATTTTCGTTTCGCCGAAATGCTGACTAGAATCCTTGTTGTTTGTAATAATTGGGCTGGAATATATGAAATTTTGTTCCATTTCCCATTAAGTAAGTGGTAAGTTACTAAGAACCGGAGATAAGAGTATGTATGAACTGATGCTAAGGTTGCGCGAAGAGCGGAAGAACTATGGAGTATTCAGTTGAAGTATAGGAAATGAAATGGATTATTGGTTTTAATGCTAGACAAGGAATGCAAAACGAGTGATGGGTTAGTTGAATGAAAATCACATAGTGATGTTAGTATTAGAGAAGAACTGGTAATGTTGAATTGAAAATCACTGTATTTGAGAAGATTTTAGTGTCAGTAATCTTCGCCACCATCATACACAAAATTCAGAATGCATAACCAGCGGGCAGTAGGCATAGCTACCAAGAGCCTAAGCCAAAGACTGAAGTGGCGGGTAGTGCACCTGGGTTTTTACAATTCAATAAGAATAGATAGAAGCAAATACAGCAGTGTACATTTGGTAATATAGTTCATTTCAGTTTGCTATTCCTGTAGGGCAAGTTCCCTAAGTCCCAAATGCGGGGGCATTCCATGATAGCAGATACCTGTAATATTACATTCATCATGCATCCTGGCCAACACAAGGGCCAGCATAGTCACCACATCCAGTATTTCACAAATTAGTAACTGAAGGTCTCAAATACAAAACTTAAGGTTGGCTTGCACTTGTCATAGCATGCACAAACTCCAGGATCGACCATCTTCATATACAAGACTAGATCCCTCAATTAAGCTTCATCGTCCATAAACTGTGGTGAATACATGTGATAGGGCTACCAACTTGAGTGAATATATGAACACGAGAAGCTACGCATTTTACCAATGGATACAAATGTAGTCGAAAGCATAGGATGCTTAAATAGATAATCAATGATAGCCCATAATTCATTTGAAATGAAAACATGGCTATCAGTATGCAATAGATAGCTTTGAAATCAAAAAAGCATAATTTTCTCAAATTTGATAAATCGTTCAATATCTATACAAGACATAGCTGAAGGTATATTGCATTTCAAGTCAAAAGCTTCAATTTCACATTATTATTAGCAATTTCATGATTATATATGACAACAAAAAATAAAAAATTATAACAATAAAATCCCTATCTTCATCCCAATTTCAAAAGAGTTTTTCTCTAAAACCCACTATGCCATATCTTAGGGCCGACAGGTTGTACAAATCCATCGCCTCTGCAATGGAAGAAACACATGAAAAGTAAAAATTATATGCTTAATTTTGAAAACATCTTGAGCGTAACACACAATGGGTCTTTAGGGGTGTATTTTGCCCTTTTTTCATTAACTTTTTTTTTAGTCTTCTTTTTAGA